ATACAATAGAGAGAGAGAGAGAGAGAGAGAGAGAGAGAGAGAGAGAGAGAGAGAGAGAGGCTAAAATAAACTAATCCACTGGGGATGATTACAGTCATAGTTCTTAGAGAAAAGAGTCACAAATGTAGAAAGTAGAAAGGCTTCAGGGCAGCTGGCGGTGGTGGCACACACCTTTAATCCCAGCACTTGGGAGGCAGAGAGGCAGGCAGATTTCTGAGTTCGAGGCCAGCCCGGTCTACAGAGTGAGTTCCAGGACAGCCAGGGCTACATAGAGAAACCCTGTCTCGAAAAACCAAAAGAAAAAAAAGAGAAAGGCTTCAGGGCACTTGTTGGTGTTTGATCAACACCATGGTACAAACTCATGATTTCTATGTGTAGATATGTGCGTGTAGATTTATGTACTGTATACTATTTTGCATGTGTGCAAACTCATATATCCTAATTGTTCAAGAAGCGCCTGAGAGCAGTGACACCCAGTAGCCATTAGCCTATCTTAATATGCAGACTCTGCTTTGTATTTTTCCTTTTTATATGGATGCTTATTCAAATTTAACATAATCACTGGACACTGGACAGTAGATTTAGGTTTTATACTTTGTTTTCCATTTGTCTCATCTTTTAAAGATTTATTTATGCATATGAGTGCTTTTATCTGCATGCCAGAAGATCGCATCGGATCACATTATAGTTAGTTATTGACTGAACTCCTGGGGATTGAACTCGGGACCTCTGGAAGAGCAGTCAATGCCCTTCACCACTGAGCCATCTCTCCAGACAGTCCTGTTGCTCTTAATTCCTTCTTTTCTTCTTTCTTTGGGGTTGAGTATTTTTAATTAATTAATTAATTAATTTATTTATTTTGAGACCTAGCTCTGGGCATCCTGGAACTTGCATTGTAGACTGGGTTGGCCTTATCCTCAGAGAGAACTGCCTGCTTCTGCCTCTGAAGTGCTGGGAATAATGTCGTGTGTCACTGTGCTCTGCTAACAGCTAGTTTTCAATAGATAATCTAATAATGGTACACATTAATGGGGTACTATGTAATATCTGACACATGTACACACTAACTTTTTAAAACGCTGTTGTCCATCAAAGGAAATCAGTGCTCTTTGGAAAAAATGGCTGCTCCAAGGTCTACACAAGACAGACAGGAAAGGTGGAGCTGTATGTATGAGGTGTAACAGCGGCTTGCTGTGGTAGGCAGTCTTGGTTGTACCTTGACTGAATGTGCAATCTAAGAGGCATGCCTCTGAGTAGGTGTCTGAGGGTAGTTCCTGGAAGCACTAACTGAGAAGCACCCTTTCCCTAGTGGAAACCAGATATAAGGAGGTCCAGAGGAAAAACTGCTGTTGGCTTATCCTCACCCTTTGCTGGTGACCTGTGTTGATGCTATCAGAAGCCAGGTTCTTCAGCCTTCCTACAGAGTTGGAAGACAAGCAGCTTCCCAGAAATCTTCCAGACCTTCAGTGCCACATGGCACTGCTGAGGCGTTCAGCCTCCTGGGCTAAGCTGTTTACCAGTGACTCAGACTCCGGAATGTAGCTAGCTCTTGTTGATCACCTATTATTGTAATGGTTAGCCAATCTACCAGACACCCTTTGTAATATATATTAATTCTACTGGTTGTTATACAGAACCTGTACTAGTACAGGAGTCAAGACAGATGCTAACCCTCAGAAACTGCCATTACATCACTGCTTTGTGACTTCACAAATATGTGATAAATAAATGGTTTGTCTATCACAGTAAACCACTGTTATTCTTTGAATATGTCATACATTTAGCTCCATCTTGTGTATTTGTCTTGCATAGTCCTTGGAACAGCCATTTTTCCCAAAGACATTTTTCCCGGATTCCTTTGATGGACAATAGCATTTAAAAGTTAAGTGTATGCATGTATCAAACCTCACATAGTATCCCATTAACCAGTTGACACATGTTGAGGAATGAAAAAAAAAAAAAAGAAAAATCATCATTTGGTAACTATCAGGATACTATCTCATGCAAAGCTAAGAGCACATAGCTAAACTGGATGACCGACAGTATTTATGTGGTCTATTGGTTATTCAGTGCTCCTCAGGTCATCTCAGCAGCAAAGGAACAAACGGACGGTGCACAACCCTTCTACCATCATGTGCCAAAGCACTGCCTGTAGCATTCCACCCCTCCTGTGTATTCCCAGGCTAAGGAGGAAGCACCACACTCAGACTGAGGACTTCCATAAGCCACCTCTGTGTAAGAAGGGTCTGAGACCAGGCAGCTGAGGTGTCACTAGGGTGAAAGCAGAAATTATTCACAGTGCCTTCAGGACCTATTAGTATGAAATTTCATAAAAAAAAGCCAAAATATCAGTTAACTTTTGTTCAAAAACTTTTATTTACTATAAAGACAAAACACCAAAATAGGTACAAATACTATAAAATTGGTTCAAAGGGGTAAAAATTTTAATTAAAATATCTTGATATATTTAAAATATAACAAAGGATACATTTAAGCCAAATTTTCTTAACCAGAGGTGTTTTTTTTGTTGTTTTTTTTTTTTGTTGTTTTTTTTTTTGTAGCATTTGTTTACATAGTAAGGTGCTAATAGGAGTTAGCCCTTAAGCCCTGGAAGTCTTAGGAATCATAGTCACACAGCACATAGAATTTCATTGTGAGAGTGAACTTTGGTAGAAGAAAAATCTATAGGACACCTGAGGTAGTAGAAACTGGAATAAACAGCAGTAGACGTTATTTACAACTTGAGTACCAAATAACATTAAAAACACAAAAATAATTACACAATACAATTTTCAGTCCAGCTTTGATCCAAAGAAAATAAGAATATTACATCACATTTGCATCGAAAACAAAACACCACAATTACCAGCAAGCTGAGGGAACTGCAAACAAACTCAAACACAGTGGATCTTGACATCTGGGGGAGTTCGAGTTTGAAATGTGGCGGGCATGTTGATGTATGCAGTAATACTGATTAGCTGAGGTTCCTCAGTTTATACAGTTTACATCTCTGTCAGACACAGCGCTAATCTGACCAATGATCTTCCAGTACATGGAATGGCAAGAGTGCGTCCTTTAAAGCTTGCACATGAGACTTGGAAACAATTTTACTAGAATTGTGAAAATTCTAAGTAGTCAAAAGTAAAAATAAAAAGGAAAATGTCAAGTACAATACATTTAGCATTAACAAACTTCACATTTCTGTATTATGTTTAACTCTTCAAAGATTGCCAATCTTCCAAAACAAAGGAATGTAAAATTTCACTAAGAAGCACATTCACATGAAACTGCCTTTGAAAATTATTTGCAGTATATCCCTGTAAACTTATCTTGGAACTTATTTTACTTCCAATTTCTGTTGTACATTCCAAATGTACTGCATATATATATAGCTTATTTAGTTTATCCTGAGTCTTTGAGAATAACCAATTCTATTTCACACTGGCTTCTGAAGAGTTAAAACTTAACATCTCAAAGTTATATTTAATAGCTAATCAGTACTTGATTTGAAAGACACACATACAAAGGGCTACCGTTTTCCTTCATGATTCCATGCATCTGAATTCAACTTGAGGCTAAGACAAATAGTTGTGCAAATGTCAGGAATTAGTGTGTAAATGAAATTCAACTTCACTGTTCTTTCTGAGCATTTCCTAAATGCAGAGCAAATTTAGTATTTGTTTGAAAACGTTACCAATTGGTAGATGAGGAAATGAGTTTATCAGTCCAGTCTAGTATAAAAACATCATGCATGGCAGAAGGAAAACAGTAGTTACATTATAGTCAGTGGATGAAGAATGATGGATTGTTACAAAGAGGAAGATTTAAATGGTGTGAACTTCCTACAGACTAGCAAAGTAATATGAAATAATTCACCTAACTTTCAGACAATTTTGCCCTGCCTTGTGAGCTGCATCTGAGAACAGCTGACTCCTAAGTGAGTTTCTACTTAACCCAAACAGTGAGGGCAGAGTCGATGTAGCCAGCACTTCACCATATGCCAATAGAAGAAAACAGAACTCTTGCAATAGGCACAGTCTTAATAAACCACTACACACCTACTTCTATGTCTTTTTTTTTTTCTGGTTTGAAGAGATAACCTTTCCCTGAATATTCAACACAAATGAAGGTGAAGTGAAAATACAGAACCATATTTTCCAAAAAAAAAAAAAAAAACAACCAGAAATGACTGGGCCAACAGTAAAATGCACAATGAACCACAATAAACCAGGAGTTCAACAACAACAAAAGGTCAACTGTGAGTCATAAAGAAGTTATTAACTTTTAAAAACACATGTATTTACTGCTACTCATAGCATACTCTGACCTGAAGGAGCCAGACACTGATTTTTCTTTTCTCTTTTTTTTTTTTTTTACAGCCAGTGACAAAAACAAAACCCTAAAAACCCCAACCGGCCTCTCAGAGCCCCCCCGCTGTGACCGCTAGCTGAAATGAAAGAAGTGACACATTAAAACAGATCCTGAGCCCTCAGCTGCTAATATTGCTGAAAAAGTGCTCCAAAAATAAACGTATGCTTCTGTCATTTAATCATGCAAACTCCATCGCCTTCCTGCTCACCTAGAGCCAGTCCTGTGAAAGGCACGGTTTACAGTTCTGCACAAGTTGTAGCTGTTTGCATACTGAACTTAGGTACAGGCCATGATTTGTCAATCACATACTTAGGTACGGTTCTCCGCTGGCCTCACTTCTAGCTGTTCAGTGGCATGAAGGCCAGCGGATTATCAATGTGGTTGCCCACGAGTTCTTTTCTCTCTCTCCTTGTTGCACATCCTGTCTCCATTATAGTTGATCTGAACAATTAACTACCACGTGGTACGAAAGACAGGATGCTTTAGAAGCTCTCTTGACGGAGGTCTGTCCTGAGGCTGAAGTTCTAAACACCGCAGAGCCACATCGCGCAGACCCGGGGACAGATGAGACGGGATGGATGGTGCAGTAGTTGCACTAGCAATCTGCAGAACAAAACCAGAGCACTGAGTTTCCATGGCAGCTTTGCACAGGAACACAGATGTGACTTTCATAGCCTCCCAGTCACACCTACATGGTGAGTTTTTCTTCAGTGCTGGACAAATATTAATTCTCAGTAGCAAACAATACAAACAACTAATTTTTACTTTTTTTTTTTTTCCTTTTGATAATAAGGTCTTAGGACAGGCTGATGGCTTGGATCTTTCTGCTTCCACTTAAGGAATACTGCAATTACAGCTGTGTGCCACCATGCCAGATATGGGCTACTGTCCTATAAACAGGTAAAGGACGAATCTCAATCATTTAGATCTACCTACTACTCTTAATCACAATCAAATTCTCCCTTTCCCTCACCTTAGCAAATTCGTGAATGATTATTAAAAAATGTGAATTGATAGAACAAAAAAATCCTAAAAAGAGTCTATCTAGAGACACTGAGTGGATGCACACCTCCTCTCTGTGATCCTTGTCTACTAGGGACACTGAGTGGTTGCACTCACATCTTACACACTGTGAGACAGAAGTGACATCCTTTTCCACCTTCCCAAGTGTAACAACTCACTGTTCTTGTTTTTCCTTCACAGGGAGGAAAAATAAAAAGCCAAACATTTCTGTTGAACACAGTTAGTTAAGGCTTTAAGTATTCTATTCATAGTGCAATGCCTGGTTCTGAGTTTGACCACATGGAGTAAATTCTTTATAAGGAGCACAGATACATCAGAAGAAATACACTTAAAATTTGGGGTGTAGAGCTGGGCCTGGGTGGGGCATGCCTTTGATCCCAGCACTGAGGAGGCAGACATAGGCAGATATCTGTGTTTAAGGCTAGTCAGGACTATATAGAGATCCTGTCTCCCAGGTCTCCCCCAAACAAAACAAACGGTGGGGAGTCGACTAGGGAGTTGGCTACTGAGAAGGCTTGCTGTACAAGCCTGCTGGTTAGCCTGAGCTGGGGTCCCTAGAGCCCATGTAAAAAGCCAGGTCTGAGGATGTGTGTCTGTAGGCCCAACAGTCCTACAGTAGGATCAGATGCAGGAGAATGCCCTAGAGGCATACACACACACACACACACACACACACACTCTCTCTCTCCATATACAAAAATAAGTTTGTTTTTTGTTTTTTTTTTCTAATAATCACTCTGGTTCTAGGGAATCTGACCCCTCTCCTGGCCTCTGCAGGCACCAGATATGCATGTGGTACAGGGACAGATGTGCAGGCAAACCCCCCCCCCCCCCCCCATACACATGATGTAAAATAAAAGCAAAGACGGGGAGGGATGAGCCATGAGACTTTGACTTCTGCTACTTTAGTACTAAAAAGTAACTGTCGTATCACAATCACCTTAAATATCAAAGCAAGATGATTGGAGTGCTTTTCTGCGTTCCAAGGAGGTTTTGCACAAGCCATTTCTATAATGGCACAGCCAACACTCCACACGTCACAGCTCCTACCGTACTGCTGACCTCTCAGGACCTACAACAAAGCAGAGTTAATTTGGAAATGTGACTGACTGGAAACAGGTCTATTCCTTATGCAAAATTCAGAGCAAACAGTGGTACAAACAACAATTACATGGACGACTCGAAATCTCATTAACCAGCTAATGTCCATGTGGCACAAAGATAAACATTCCAGGATTCCAAAGCAACCCTCAAACAACGGAGCATGAGAGCAAATCATCACCACATTGAACATGACGAGCTCCGAGCTCAGGACAGGCCACATTCAGAAGTACACACTGTGCTACGATGTTGACAGACAGGGCTGGCTCTGTGGCTTACCTCCCTTCAGGAAGGAAGCGCCGACTTCTGCATATTTCTACCATGTGCACTAACAAACTAGCCCCACAATTCTGTGTTAAATTTGTGTTAAAGTAGCTGCTAAGCAAATCTATAAAAACTTGTGTTTTATAATTTTGTTGAGAATAAGGGTGTGAAATGGAAGGTAGTATTAAAAACTAGATTATAGGGTCATGAGCTTCCAATCACTAAGTGCACACTGGATCCTACTGTGAAACAGTCAGGACTCCACAATGCTGCCCTTCTTTACACTCAAAGCCACTTCTCACCTCAGGTGCCATGAATGCAATTGTTCCCAGCAACTGTCCCTGGAACTCTCCTGCACCGGTTCCTTTTGATGCCAACCTGGCAGCAGCTCCAAAGTCTGCAATTCTCAGCCTCTGACCGGTGCTGTCAATGAGCAGATTGGCACCTGTCAACAGAGACAGCAAATGACCCTGTTAGATCAAATAAGGACATGTTGAGAGCCCCATGAAGCTCTGCTAATGAAACTAAGACAATGTAGGTACAGCCACTGCCTCACAGGAAGCTGCCCTCATCTTCCTCTGCTCAGTCTCTGCAAAGGCACACTAGTGTCTCTAGTGTGGGTTTCACCTAAAGCCCCAGAAGGATATTCTGAAGATCAAAGCCATAAGGCTCATGGCGATTAAAGGATAAAAGCTTGGAGACCCTGGAAAGTCAGGACGCAAAGCCCTGAAAATGATGATTTCAGCTAAAGCGACCCAGAATTCAAATTTTGGTACAATTTACATTTTAAGGCCAAGGCTTGTTGACGTATACTAACATAGGCCAATACAAACTATATGCTTATTTTATAATCACAGTTTAATCAAAGTTTGTATCGCAACAGCACTTTAAAACATTGTTAAATACGCAACAGTCACAATAGAAAATTCAAGTTGTCTTTAATAAAATCTAAGCTGCAGGATCTGAGAGGATTTTCTTAAGCTTATGATACACCAATTATCTAAGAAAAACCAAGAACAGGGATCTTCTGGGGATACACTGTGAAACCAAGATGGTGGACAAGGAGCCCTCAGTCTTATTACCCTTCCTACCAAGTTGCAGCCTTTCTGGTACTGAACACACTATGCTAAGGAGAAAGGGTCCTTTTAGTTCTAATAATCACAGGGTATTTAATCCTAGACTTAAAATCCTGTGTTAGAAACCATCAAAGGGCCGGGCGGTGGTGGTGCACGCCTGTAATCCCAGCACTTGGGAGGCAGAGGCAGGCGGGTTTCTGAGTTTGAGAGTTCGAGGCTAGCCTGGTCTACAGAGTGTAGTTCCAGGACAGCCAGGGCTACACAGAGAAACCCTGTCTCGAAAAAAATGACCAACCAGAGATAAAGAGGAAAACTAAACTAAGAAACAAAAAAACAAACAATAAATTAAAAATCAAAGGTCACTTTTTAAAGTAACATTTGTTTTCTTGCTGTCACTAGAAAATAAATGGCGTCCTTACCTTTGACGTCTCTGTGAATGATCTGGTTCTCGTGGAGATATGAAAGGCCGCGGAGTAACTGCTCAGTGTAGTTAACGACGACCGACTCCTTAAAAGCTCCGTATTTACTCAGGAGATGAGCCACAGATCCTCCTGGAAGACAGACAGGCGGACAGAACTGAGAACCTGGCCTCTTTGTCACACTCTAGCTTAAGTCTACAATATGAGCTCATATGAAATGTTAAGCTCACAGCCCATGTCAGAAGTACAACTGATTTCCTGTATTAAAACTGTAAGTCAGTTAACATTTCTTTACAGAATCCTCAGGAAACCAGCTTACTATAGGGCCAAGATTTCAGAAAGCATTAAAAATTATAAATTTGATTGAAATGTTTCTGCAGTGTAGATTCTGTAGTGGGAGATATTTAGAAAATGGCGCAGATCTGGCTGGTTCCTGGGCAGCCGCTATGTTCACACTGCTTCTTGACTTTGATGGGGCTCTGGCTAGATAGATGCACAGTCCCTGGTACCCACAAGACACCAGTTGTGGGGGATGGCTCTGCCAATCCACCACTCTGCATCCACAAAGCTCGGCCGAACCTCAGACAGTATCTGCCATCCTCGCAGTACCCAGTAGAAATGAGACTCTTAAAGCTTAGTGATTATCTAAAGGATTTATATATTTAGAAATGCTCAATCAACAAGATGCCCACACGATTAGAGCTGTTACCCAATATCTAACCTTTTGATAGAAGTTGCTACCCAGGACAGCTTTTGACCCATCCATGGTTCTCCATGGCTGCTCCCTCTCTCCTCCCCTTCCTCTCTTCTTCTCCCCTCCCCTTCCTCTCTTCTTCTCCCCTCCCCTTCCTCTCTTCTTCTCCCCTCCCCTTCCTCTCTTCTCTCCTCCCCTTCCTCTCTTCTCTCCTCTCCTTCCTCTCTTCTCCCCTCCCCTTCCTCTCTTCTTCTCCCAGCTCCATCTCCTCTTCTGCTTAATCACCGAGCTCCACTGTGAATACAATGTAGCAGAATAAATATCCTGCTACAAGATTCCACTCCTTTCTTTTTTCAAAGTGCACAAACTATTACAGATGTGTTACTTAGCAGAAGGTAAGAGAGCAGGGGAGGAGCAAGAAGACAGCTAGTCATCAAATAACATGTATGAGTTTTGATGGATAAGTCGCAAACTCGGTGAATCTCATTTATAAACCATCTGTTCAGTTCATCCTCATGAAAAACAGGTAAGGGACTTAAGAACTACTGGGTATCACTGGGGAGATCACTGGGGAGATGGCTCAGTTGGTACAGTACCTGCCATGGATGTATAGAGACCTGAGTTCAATCCCTTGAATCCACATTAAAAACCCAGGCATGGTGGCATGCCCTTGTAGCCTCAGCACGGACCAGCCATCTCAGCCCAACTGATGAGCTTCAGGGTCAGAGAGAGACCCTATCTCAACAAAGATGGAGTGACTGAGGTCCCTACCATCTCAGACATCTGCATGCACATAGGCACACATTCACACTAGTAAGCACAAACATGAACTAGAATATGCGCTCTTAAATGATACAAGAACTTAACTGGCTGAATAACCTAGTCGTCATATCTGGAGTCACTGTTGCATTATAGAAGTGAATTCGGCAATGCTTAAGAGAATGAGGTTTTAACTTTGTGTCTCAGTGCTGTTTCATCTGAAGTTTTCAAATTATACATTAATTTATTTAGGTTTGTTCATTTATTTGAGACAGATTCTCACCTATTATGGCTCAGGCTGGGCTTGGACCAACTATCCTTCTGCCTCAGCCTCTTGAGTGAGTGCACTGCCTGCAGGCACATGCCCTGCTTAGTAACTATATACTGTTAGAAACATTCTTACAAAAACATAATCTATACAATTAGTGATGACTATCAAGAGAAATATGGAATTTAAACAAGCCAGATTTTTTTTGGGAAAAAAAAAAGATTCTTATACACCAAGCCATAAAATCACTCTTAGGGAAGGTTGCTGAGCTGGGGAACACAGCTCAGTGCCAGAGAACTTGTCTAGAAATGTGCAAGGTCTGGGCTCGATTCCAGGTACAAGAAGACAAAAGAGCAAGAAGAAAAATTTTAGTATTTACTAGATTTAAAATATAGACAATATTTTTTGTGTATACCTGTATATTAGGAGTGGTTTGTTTTTAGAGATCTATTTAAAAATGTATAGATGAAGCATTCAGTAAACTGTAAGTAGAAGAAAGTTAAGTTTGCGTACTCGGACCTCCTCAGCAAGTGAACATACCTGCCATCCACTCGATGAAGAGGTTGTAGTTGCTCTTCTCACACGTTGCCCCCAGCATCCTGATGATGTTTGGATGGTTGAGGTGGCTCATCATCCTGATCTCTTCCCTCAACGCTTCCACCACTTCCTCCTGCTCGGAGGATGTGTTTCTGACGTAAGTCACCTGTTTTAACAAACATGTTAACAGGATTTTGAGTTTTACTGTTCTAAGTTTTCAAACCAATCTGATGTAAAATGGACGAATCCAAACTATCTCACACATTTGGCAGCAAATGGCATTTACCCCCATGGATGCAGTCTGCTTTATAAAAACAACAGGGAAGCACAGTCAGATAACTCTACACAGGAATACAGCTTAGTGCACTGTAGATCAGAAAGGTGGCATAAGGGCAGGGTGCTGTAGCCAAGACTCTGACTGTACAGAACAGTAAACGAGAAAGGCCAATGACAGAGGGACAACATGACTGTGAAACGGGAAGTCATTATTTCTGCGTCCCAGTGAGTATGCGAGATCATATAGAAGGGAAAGGCAGAGTGTGGGAAGCCGTCAGCCAGCACACGTAGAAAGGGGATGACCAGCCGGCTTCCTGACCATCTTCATACTGGATCTTACAGTGACCAGCTTTAACTTTTATTCATGTGAGTACACTGTTGCTGTCTTCAGACACACCAGAAGAGGGCAGCAGATCCCATTACAGATGGTTGTGAGCCACCATGTGGTTGCCGGGAGTTGAACTCGGGGCCTCTGGAAGAGGCAGGCAGTGCTCTCAACTGCTGAGCCATCTCTCTAGCCCCAAGCTTTAACTTTTAAAAAGTTCATGTCTGTGCTGCTTCTGGCAACATCTACTTTGAGTCTGAAGCTTTTCCAAACTGTCAAGTATGGTGGCAAAATCCTGTTATCCTACCACTAGGAAAGTAAAGGCAAAAAGGTCCCAGGCTGGAGGTCAGCCTGGGCTACATGGTGCTTCCAAAACCAAACCAAAACACACCTCTAACATTGACGCCTTGAGATACCAGTATTTCATCCTTTGAGTTCACAGCTACACATGCACCGAGTTATAATTTGAACGCTCTCATCCTGTGCTCCCAATACCAACCTGTTTCACAGCCATTAGGGTTCCAGTCCCCACATCCTGTGCTTGGTAACAAGAGGAAAATGCTCCCAGGCCTATCTGCTGGCCTTTCAGCCATTCCGTGTCTTCTCTGTATGGCTGTTTCGCTTTGGTGTGTCCTGGAAGAGTTTCTGGTGTCTGCGTATTAAACAAAGAATCATTTCACTGTTAAGAGAGCAAGATCCTATAAAACTGGACTGAGAAAATACTATTGTAATTCCCATACCAGGCATGAATTTGACCTCCAAATGGACACTGTTAACAACCAGTATCAAGTACGTAAGTGACAATCATTTCAGAACCAGCCAGAAGAATCTCAAATAGGCCGAGTGCTGCTACTGCAGTGACTCAAAATCACCGTCACATACTTAATTATGCACGAAAAACGGTCACATCCGCCTCATCTCGAAAGCACCATTTCTAGTAGCCTCTAACGAGTTTTCTCAGGATCATGAAGACTCTATACTCACATCCTGCTGGATGATGATAATATCTTCTCCATTTTCAACCTGCAGCTGAGGAACTATGGGGAGGGCATCCTGAGACGCTGACATTGCCATGGCAATTGCTAAAGCCTCCTCCTCTTCAGCTTCCATCTTTTCTTTGCACTTTTGATTATGACTGACGTCATCTTTGTAGGTATCATCATTTTCAGCCTTTTCAGGAGAGAGGACAGCGACCTCGGACTTGAAAGTGACTGTAGTGTCACTCGAAGGCATAGATGCTTCAAGAAGGTCCTCGATACTGGAGTTGAGCTCAGTGTTGACATCTAACCTGCACTTGTCCTCTACTGGGGTGAACACTGTCTCATCACTGGGTATGACGGCACTGCCACTATTGCTGCTACTACCAAAGCTGTCGTCACACTTGGAAGCACTGTTCAGGTCAAGTGTCATGCTATTTTTTGAGGTGTCCCCTAGTTTGCTTGTACTGCCTGGAACTGGTCGAGATGGCTTTGGCCTGTGTATGTTACTGGAGGGTGGGGGTCTTGACTGAGTAAAGACTGGGGAGAGTTTATCTGAGTCTCGGTTTTCAGAGCAGGTTCTCTGGAATTGTAGAGAAAACTTGCGCTGTGTTTGAGGAGATGCAGAAGGTATTTTGCAGGGAACGAATGCCTGAGGTCTGTGCTTAGAAACATCTGTAACAGAGCCAGCTGGGACAGATGGGGCAGAGGAACAAGGGGTTGACATTGCTGGAAACATTAACTGAGGATGAGACAAAGGAGACGAGTTCAAACACTGACTGTGGGGTCTGCCTTTTGTTTGAACCATTGGCTTTGGTTGTTCTGTTGTTGTTGAACTAGGAAGTCCTACAGAAATGCCAGCCAGTCTGTCAGAAATGTCCTCTGAGCTGGCACTCAGTCTTGTAGCACTTAATCCTTTTCCAGTTTTCTCTATATGGACTGCGTGCTCAAGGGAGCTGCTCTCTGGATAGCAGGTAGAGGCCAGTGACTGTGGGCTGTCCTGTTGGCCATTCAAAGTGTCTTCCACACCCAGCTGGATGACTTCGGCAATTTCTACCTCATCTGCAATGGCCATCAGACGCCGGCGCATCCTGGTGAAGTGGGTGGAGCCAGAAGCATTCAGCATGGTTACCAGCTTGGAAAACATGGCAGGCACTGCAGTCACCATTCTTGCAGAGCTCAGATATATCCTGCGAGAGAGTTTGCCAACCATCGAGTGGGAATTGTCAATGGATTGCAAGGCAAAGGTTAAGAGGGACAGCAGCTTCTTATACCTGAAAGAAAAACAAGGCAAAACACCTTCAATTACCAGGAAAGCTCAAATTACCAGAAAAATAATACAGTTTTAAAAAGGCAATTTATAGCCTGGCCCTGTACACAAAAACCATTTTGGCATGAAGAATTTATAAATGTTTAAGTAGCCTAGTCTTCAGGTTTCTATGCTACTCAAATATTAAGGTATTAGTATACCACTTGGGGAAATATAAGCAAGATGGAAGAGGCTGGTTCTTATTTCCATAAAATTACCTGATTTCAACAGGCTCAGCTTGTGAGACATCAGTACTGACAATATGAGGATAAAATTCAGCAGGAAATTCCAACAGCAATCTGTCTATAAGACAGAGGCGACCCAGGAGTTCTTGCCAGTTGTTTGACTCAGCTTGGTTTCCAAGAATACAACTTAAGACATAATCAACACCACCAACACCAATGGATCCTACAGAAGTAAAAACAAATGGTGGGAAAACAGTGCTATAAAACTCTAAAACAAAACATGAGTGAATAATGGGAAGGCTCATAAAAACATTCTGGATTATACTCGTCTTAAGGACTTCGCTTAGATTCTTATTAACACAGCTGAATTAATTTATAAAGTTACTTTAATAACAGTCTTCTGAGAAATATTAGGTCATGAAAACAATAAATTGTGCTCATTAGTTTCAAGTAGAAGTTATTACCAGCTTTAAGTATTTCTCTTCCGACTGCCAACTCTCCTGCTTGGCCCTTGCAGAGCTCCAGCAGTGTTGATATGGACAGCTGACTTGTGCGGCTACAAAGAAACAAAAGCACCTTAATCCCAGATATTGGGTCAACAACTTGCTGATGAGCTACAAGTGTCATGAACACTATCTACAGAATTTCTTATGTTCTCAATTGTTCAAGCAACTACCCAGGATAAGCAACCCAGAGTTCCAAAAAGTGGGCTACGTGATACATGCCATCTAAACCATCCTCGCTGAAAAACAAGATTTTCCCTGCGCATTTACAAACTCTCTACATAATTAAGTTATAACTGGGGAAAGACGAATAGGAGAAGGTGATCGGGGAGCTGCAGAAGCAAGCAAGGGAGACTGAGCTGCTCTGCCACAGAAATGTGCCAGATGGAAGGATGCAGCTAGGAACTGCTCCACAGTATCCCCAGGGCTTTTCTGTCCACTGATGCAAGAGCCACGGCCTATGCTCATGGTCACTGCCACCACTCTGTACTTCTCTCAGTTTTGAAGGCTACTGTGTGAAGATACGAAACTTAAAAACCAGTTAAAACCTCTCCCAATTACAGTGAACTTCCACTAAATTAAAGAGTACAGGAACAGGATCCTTTTCTGATCCATGAGGCAGAGGCAGGGATAATAATTTACATTTACTCCTGTGGTCTTTTATGCCAGCTAGTGTTCTTGTCAATGGGATTTTACATTAAGAATGCTACAGTCATAATACTTTAGAGGTGCAGGTCCACGCAGTTTGCTAGTCTGGCTTTTACCTGCCATTGCAGTTTCTTTCCCTAGCCCTCAAGCTGTTAAGTCCTGTGTTTCCATTTCAGATTTTATATTACAAAGTAATATTCAAAGATTCACTAACCCAGATGTATCAAGTACAGGGTGTGAGGCAGGCCTTACCTATTGGCATCTGCACACTTGACTAGGATGGTGTCTACAACCGGCCGGAGGAGCCTCTGAAGTTTGATTCTTTCTGCCAGACTGTGGCAAGGAGTGTATACCAGCATGGCTCTCAATGTTTTCTGGGGAGAAAAAAAACCCTGAAGGTCAGTTTAACCACATGCACAATGCATCAAAGAAATGTCCTAAGCTGAGTGAATCTGGGAAAACTGGATAACAAGTAATAACAGGAATGGATAACCAATGCCGTGTGGAGTCAAGCAGTGGTGACTGACTTAACCCAGAGTCGGAGTCGAGCAGTGGTGACTGACTTAACCCAGAGTCGGAGTCGAGCAGTGGTGACTGACTTAACCCAGAGTCGGAGTCGAGGCCTCCTACACCTCCCTGGCCAGGCCACCTCGGCTACTCCCAGTTCAACTGGCACAGTTAGTGCTCTAGGTGTGAAGGTTTTTGAGGTCACTGACTTCTGATTTAAACTTCTATTCATGGCCACGCATGCTTCTTAACAGGGAGATTCACTGGACCCAACTGTTAAATTGTGAGTTAGAAAAAACAAGATGGCAAGAAATTAGCTTAGAGGCTGGAGTTTAAACAGATTAGGTAATGTTTCATGTCAGTGAGATGGTTCAGCGGCCACTGGCACTTGTCACCAAACGTGATGGACTTGGGTTTGATCCCCAGAACTGGCATGGAAAGAACTAAATGGTTTCTGTAAGTGGTCCTCTGATTTCCACACATGCATCCATCCTCCTTCCTGTTTATCCTGAGGCAGGGGCTCTGAGCTGGGATGAGTTTCAGCTCCAGGGATCGTTTGGCAGTGCCTGAAGACATGCTTCATTGTGACAGAGGGCGAGGAGGGTGTAGTGCCGGTAGCCATCTAGTGATTAGAAGCCACGGTGCTCAACACCCTACAGGACAGCACCTCTGGAGTCCCCACCTCCAGGTAATTATCTTGGCAACCACAACAGTGCTGAGATTGAGAAACAAGGCTCCAAAAAGATGGGTATTTCCAGAATAGAAAATGTCAATTTAGCCTTTCCATCATGCTACCCTGTGTGACTGTCTTCTTCATAGAAGACAAGTCATAGCGGTAAACCGAGACAATCTACATCTACTACATGTGCTGGGATTACACATGGCATGGGCCTCTGTGCCCATGTTGGGGACCGTCCTGATTTTGCTAACCTATGTGGCCCGGATTTGGTTATGTAAGGAGAAGTGAGCCATGTGTTAGTGTGGACACACTCGTCTTTCCCTGCGTCTTGACAGGATGCGATGCGGCCAGCCTCTACAAGTTTGTGCCACGGTGAACTATATTTTGGAATTGTGAGCCAGAACAAATCTTTCTCTCCTTAAGTTTCTTTTGCTGGGGTATTTTATCAGTGACGGGAAGAAATTGAGACATCATGGGGCCATTTTCTATAAAAAGCCTCTGAATTTTCTCACAATATTTACTGAAGCCGAGAATAATTTTTATTAGAAATAAATACTTGTTAATGTTTCATGACATCAAAAACAACAACAACAAACCCTCAAATGGAAATTTCTAACACTATTATTTTTGTTTCTTGAGACAGGTTCTCACATTACCCTGGCTAGTCTTGGACTCTCTATATGAAGATCAGCTTAACTCCTGATTCTCACCTTTCTCCTTTCAAGTGCTGGATTTATGGCATAGCATTACCATACAAGCCATCTAGAAGTTTTAACTTGGCCATATGTGATGCATTCATTCAAGAAAATATATGAACAGCAAGACATTCCTACCAGATGGTAGAAAAGTAACCAGTGCATAAGAAATCCTGAGAACAAGATGATGAGTACAAGACAGTAAAAGTAGACGGACAGACAACATGGAATACTGCAGTTTCTTAGGACTATGGGAGAAAAAAATTTGGATTTTCCTAAAGTTAAAGAAGATTCATGTTTCTTATAACTGATACCTATGAAAGACAAAAAAAATTCTCAAAATATGGTTATGGAATGAAGTACTTACTAAAGCAGCAACATACACTTTGTAGACAGGGTCAGCGCAGACTATAGACAGGACGCTGCAGCACGCCTCCACCACATCCCCTGAGATGCTGGGCTGGGAGGACCCGCTGGCCGCTCCAGCACTCAAGCTGCCCCCACTGCCGCCTCCAGAATTTCCAGTGCTCTCCCCGTTTGCCAACAACAGGGCCCCACTAACATCGTGGGAAAGACGCCTAAGGGCCATCTCCCTTACGTTCCAGTTTCTAGAGAATAAGCAGCCAACGAGTTCCATTCCAAACACCTGAATCGAGCAAACACAAGGTGATGAGAAATAAGGGAATCCATGCTATAGTAACATGTTCTGATGACTAAAGAAAAATGGCCACCTCTCAAGTCTTTATTAACATCTGACAGATACTTGTAATTGTCAACAATTTTCCCTCCCTCCTTCCTTCCTTCCTTTCGTTTTTTTGTTTTTTTGAGACAGGGTTTCTCTGTGTAGTCCTGGCTGTCTTGTAGACCAGGCTGGCCTTGAACTCAGAAATCCTCCTGCCTCTGCCTCCCAAGTGCTGAGACTAAAGGTGTGCGCCACCACTGCTTGGCTGTCAATGTTTTTCTAATGAATTATAATATACACATTCTTGTGTGGGCACAAGGGTGCACATGGATAGGTGTGGAGGGCAGGGGTCAACCTTAGGAGTTGTTCCCAGGAGGTGTCAACTTTTTTTACTTTTGAGACAGGGTCTTCTATTAGGCTCACTATTAAGCTAGGCTTGCTGGCCACTGAGCCCCAGAGCTGGGATTGTAAGTATATCAACACACCCAGTTCTCTATAAGATGCTGGGGATTAAACTCAGACACCCATGCTTAAACACTACTCACTGAACTAGCTGCCTCATGATGTCAAACTTAGTGTAAACATCAGAACTTAGTGTGGACATCTGATCAGTATAGTGCATTATAGCCCAGAACTCCTGGACTCCTGTCTCAGCCTCCCAAGTAGCAGCCTCTGGAGGTCATTCCATCCATACATTCCATCCAGACTCTGCTCTCTGCTCCCTTTTCTCCCCTCAAGTGGATGGCCGACAGCCTCCGGGGAGAAATGGGGGCCTACACCCCATTTGGCTCCCCGACTGCCAAATTCATAGGATTCAGAAACTTCTGGGAATGCTGACTGAGGTCTTTCCAGATTATATTAACTGAGGCGGGGACCCATCCTGAACGTGCTGAGTACCAGCTCACGGGCTGAATTAGGAGAAGTGCGCTCATCTCCCTCTGCTTCCTGTTTGTGGATGCAATGTGACTGGCTAGAGCCTGCTGCCATGCCTTCCCTGCCATGATCAGCTGTAACTCATCAACTGTAAGTTGAACCAAATCCTTCTCTCTATGGTTACTACTTCTCGGTATTTGGTCACAAAAACAAAAAACTCGATAGCACTTAATTTGAAATGCTAGTTACTTCAACACTTAGAACACAACATACCTTTATACTCAAGTCTGACTGGTAATCATGCAAATTAACACTGAATAGCTCCAAGTAAAACTGAGGCTAAACTCTAATAACTAGGTCGCTTCATTTTCCTATTTTGGCTTATGCTTAAAAACACTAACTCAGCAGTTAAGAGCACTGACTGCTCTTCCAGGGGTCCCGAGTTCAATTCCCAGTAACCACATGGTAGCTCACAACCATCTGTAATAGGATCTGATGCCCTCTTCTGGTGTGCCTGAAGACAGCAACAGTGTACTCACATATATAAAATCTTAAAACACTAAAACCGAGAGAAAAAAAAAAACTATAAAGAACTCCCTATTTATACATGATTAAAATACTTTATTAAGAAGGAAGCTAGGTTTTGTGAAAAAAGCAAGGAAATATCACTGGGGATATCATTGGTGTAGAGGCTTCAAGTCAGAATATTTTTCTTAAGAGAGAAAAGTCATAGAAATCTATGTGGTTTTAGCATGCTAGCAGTCACAGGAGCAGAGTGTTTTCCTAAATGAGAAACAGCTGAGGGCAGGGGACAAACACAGGACGAGAGCAACATGGCTCCCCGAATATCACAGACAGCTACCTACCTGAATCCATGGCTCGGCTACGTCTTTGTAAGCGGGAGGAATCTGCTGGGTTCCAAAGTGAGTGAGGTTGAAACTGCTTTCCTGAGTCCTCCGCTGTGACCCGGCCACAGGCTGCTGCGGAGAGGACGGCTGCTGTACAGTTCGCAGGGAGGCAGGGGAATCCACGGGGCTTGATAACTCGTGGCTAAAATGAAAAATAACAAAACTCAACTGCAAAAATATAAACAGATATAAGTCACTTTTTTTTTTTTTTTTTGAGACCAGGTTCTCTGTCTCAGGCTAGCCTTGAACTCATGATCCTTCTGACTCAGCTCCGCCAAGAGCTGGGATTACAGGTGTGTACTACCATGAGAGCCTAGAGAACATCATTTTAATTTTCTGTTAAACATATACAAATCAGATATTCAAAATTACTACCTGTAGAAGTCGTGGGACCTCCACTTAGATCGACAAAGGGGGCATATTAAAGGCTCTCTGTTTCTTCTGCATTCTTCTGCCCCTGAAAAATAAAAAGGAAAAATACCATGAAAATGTAAATGTGTAACGTTAATGATTAAGTCCTACGCATTCATGATGGTTAGTGTAATGCAGATACAGAAGGAGCCTTGTACAACCTTAAAGCTGGCCGATGCAGCAGAGTAAGTCCTGATGCGTGTACCTAGACAAATGCTACTCTCACTTGTGAGAACACTGCTGTGCTTAGTGTCCCTCAGAGCATCTTCCCCACTCCATTCTGTGGCTAGCCTTTCAGACTCGCTCTCTGGAAAGCCCGCCCAGGTCTTCCACCCTTTCTGTCCTCACAGATCTGGGCTGGGAGCTTTTATGCCTGTTCCTTTCATTTCCACCTGCATCGCCGTATACACACTGCTTTTGTCACAGACCCTACAACCCAATCTGTGCAACACTTTACATGGAGCTTAAGCAAGACTCCCTTCTGCTCTAATGTCTCCACAGTGTCATTTTCGCTGCAACCCTAAGGACAGCAGTAAGCCAGAGTACAGGCAGGCTGAGCGCAGGGAGGCGGGGCCACCTACAGATTGACATGCAGTGGTGGTGCAGCTTGTTCCTGCAGCCGTCTTCACACACCGTCAGGCTCTCCTCATCCAGCATGCCCAACAGGCAGATGGGACACATCTGCTCCTCTTCATCCTTGATGCTGGGAGAGGAGGAAACGAAACACTAAGCACCTAAATCCAGAAGACTTCTCTGGAATATGCACCCGTTAGTCACAGATTCCTGTTGAATACCGTGTGATCACGTAAGAATTGTGGGGCAGTTCTTTTTTTTTTTTTTTTTTGAGACAGGGTTTCTCTGTGTAGCTCTGGCTGTCCTGGAAATCACTTTGTAGACCAGGCTGGCCTCGAACTTGCGAAGATCCACCTGTCTCTGCTTCCTGAGCTGGGATTAAAGGTGTGAACCACCACCACCTGGCAGCTATTTCTGCTGTTAACACACAGGGATTTAGGAGGGAGGACCACAGACTGCATTCACAGACGGTGAGTTAGGTTGTTCTTACTGTGAATGGAGGAACTACAACCCAGGAAAGGACGTTCGTGTCCCTGAAATGATCCCTCTGCCCAGAGCTGGGATTAGTGTGCCCAGCCATGGACAAACCATGGCGGCATAATGTTCACTGATTTGATAGACTATATATCTGCTTACCACTAACACTGTAGATGTATTCTTAATTTTACAGTTTAAGAAATCATAAACATTTCTTAGTCTACTTCTTTGATATTTTAGAAGTCACATGAATACGGAACAGTGAGTATCAAAAGGAAAGTTATCCAGTCAACATGTGGCCTATTTTATAAATAAAGTTTTATGGACAATGGTCACATCCATTCACTTTCATATTATCAGTGAAAACTACTTGAGCCTACTAGGACATGACTGACCGTTATAATATGGACCCCATGGCCCATAAACATTTAAAGAAAATGAAGCCAGCTGTAATAACAGACACTATTAGTGACCATTATAATTCTGCCCTAATATTTATATACCTATAATTTCATATATAAAATTGGCACATATAAGCAATAGGACTTAAGGTTTCACTTAACATTTTTTCCATGGTATCCAGTAGTTTTCAGAGGTGTAATTTTAATGGTTATACATGACGTAACATGGACATACCGGGGGCGGGGGGGGGGCTGGGGAGTCCAGTGTATAGGGCCCTTCTGTGTACTCCAAGTTGGCCTGGAACTCGCTACTCAGCCCAAATGGCCCCAGACTCACTGCTGCCCTCTCTCAGCCTCTGGAATGCCTGGATCACATGTGCGTGTCACCACGACTGGCTATAATGTGGGTATGCTTTAACCATTCATTTGTTGCTGGCTATTTAAACCTTTTTCTATATTTTCACTACACTATGCCACACACAACAAACAGGCCACACATAAAACATACTGAAGATGGCACATTTCTTCAATGCGCCAGCTCTGGCTAGCGCCTGTTCTAGAGCAGGATAAGATAATGTTTCAGAAAACTACCCTCCTGCCCAGAAAGGCTGAACTACTTTACAGACAGTGGAGTGCCTTTCAAGAACAGAACTGTTGCATTACAAAAGATCCCTTAGTTACATAAGTAAAATGTGCCATTTTCCCATATATTGTATATTCATGTATATGGAGAAATATGAAATTTTTATATGTTTGCTTTTAAATAAAAAATTCATAAATATGATATTTATATGATGTAAAAAGCATACGGTCCTGGATTCACTATGGCATCTCCGCACAGAGATGCCATTCATTATATTGTTCTACCTCACCCTTCCTACCTTTCTCATCTCCACCTGGTGTGCTTTTTATTAAGCATTTTTCAAAATGTTACTGGGTTCACTGACATGTTTACTAGCCTCTTCAAAATTCCTCTTTTATGAGCCGGTGATGTGTCCCATTCATTTAATTCCAACACTCAGGAGACAGAGGCAGGAAGATCCCTAAGTTTGAGACCAGCCTGAGTTCCAGGACAGCCAGGGCTACACTGAAAACCCTTGACTCAAAAAACAAAACAAAAACAACAAAAAATTTCTTTTATGACTACTTTATGTATTTCTTTCTATACATTGAGGTTCCAGGATCACCTTTGCCCTTTCATTTTTTGGAAGGGTTTTATGTATTTTCAGTATGCTTTTATCTTGTTTATTTTGAATTTTTATTGCACGCATGTGAGTGTTTTGCCTGTATGTACATATATGTACCACATGCATGTCTGGTGCCTGTGAGGGCCAGAAGAGGGCGTCAGATCCCCTGGAAATGGAGCTACTACAAATGGTTGTTAGCTACCATGTGGTGCTGGGAATTCAACCTGGGTCCTCTGGAACAGCAGTCGGTGCTCTTAACTGCTGGGCCCCCTCTCAAGCCTCTCTATTTTCTACTTTTTTTGAGATATCATTTAAAATTTTTATAAAATTAGACCTGAGATGAATCTCTCTTTAGGCTTTCTTTTTATTATTTAGTTTTTCTATAAAAATGTGATTACGTGGAACAAAAAACGTACACAATTTTGATACGTTATAACGACAAACTCTTGTGCCTACACTGCTGATACACCAATGCACCTGGAAACCTCGGATTCCAGCACATATCAAGAACGAGGTCTCCTTGCTCACCTCAGAAACTTCTGACGTAAGCTATTTAGCTTTAAACGTTTTTTTTTTCCTTTCTTCAACAAAAAGGAGAAAGTAAGTTTGGCTTCAGAAGCTTGACAAAGGGAGTTCGACCTCCCCAAGTTCCCCCATTTATTTAGGAACAGAAAGAAACCTGGGATAGGAGTCAGAACGCCCCCACTCTGGTTACACTATAACTTAAACGAGTTACACCACCTCTCTGCTGGCTTCACCCACATCTAAGGAAGCCAGAAGATCCTTCGTTTCACAAATGTTTGTGTTTTCCACAGATGAGAATAAAATCTCCCCTCCACTCCGTGGGCCCTCAGCAGCACTTCTCTCTGCTTCGTTAATTCTGAGGCAGTTATGAACTTAAAGGCCTGAGATGGGATGCGGATGAGCCTTCCGGACAGTGCTTCTCAAACCAGGGGCCAAGAACAGATGCCTTCCTCCTGTCTGCTATAACCGAACCTTCTCATTTTTATATCAAAAACGAAGTGCCACAGAACAGAAAGCAAAGTTCTGTTACAGAGCGGATAATAGTCTCCACAGAAAACCAGAGACTTGAAAACACCCACATTTATTCTTGTAGGCTGCATTGTGCATCCTTCAGAGCTTGTCTTTGACATCTTTCCAGCCACTGTGGCTTGGAGTGTTTGGGAAGCACTGTAGACTGTGGGTAGTGACTGTGGGTGACGGTGAACCTCCTCATCTACATGCGCATCTTCTCCTAGGTAAAGACTCCCCGAAAACAGCTACGAGGGGAGTACTGATGTTATACGATATAAAATCCTATACTTGAACGTGATTTTGGAAAACCACTTTGCTTTGTATATGGTTTATTTATAAAAGAATTACACGTTTCCTTCTACTTTATAGTGCCTCAGCTTCATTATCTGTGGGACAGTGACAAAATCTACCTAACACAAGAACAGAAGGAAACAGCGCTATCAGGGGCTTGGCTACAGTAATGTCTGACATATCAGCCTCTCAGTAATTTAGACCCGCCACTAGCTTTCTCACAAGACTTGGACATTATGTTAATTTCTAATACATTTCTAATGCTGTACTGTGGAGAGCAAAATGTCTTCATGTTTACCTTTGGCTTGAACACGAAAAGCCAAGATTCAATAATTACATCATTGTATAGCAATTTAGTAAGTAAAATAAAAAAAAAATGATGTGACAGTAGATGAGTGCTCAGCTTTGTGACGAGTACAAACCTGTTTTCTGAACTAGATGTGGATGTGCTAGACGATGACAATGTGTGACAGTTTGACATGCGTGAGACAAACTTCTGGATGGTGTTCCGAGATGGAGCTTTGATTCTCGAGCTACGCCTACTGTGGTATTTCTGGAACAAACTCTCAACCTAACATTGGAAAAAGACAGTGTCAATGATATGGATGCCATAATTATGCATATGAAGAGGTGAATTATTCATCTTTATTTGCATAAAGTTTGCATAGAGCTGATTTAAGAGGTTGAAACATAAGATTGTAGTTTATTAAGGACAACGAGTTTGACAGCAGGACAGTGTTTACTGCCTTTTACAGTTTAGGAAAAAGAAAACCAAACCATTTGTCACTCAGTAAATCACCAAAGAACCTTTAAAGACATCAGATAATTCTTATGTAGCTTCACATGCCCAACATGGTCACTGTCTATTTAAATTCAGTGTTCTTGGTAAAATCCAAGATGTACCATACAAGTCTGTTGCCAATTTTACTCTAGAGTTGTATATTAAAAAATTACCTCAAAATTTTTTAAAGTTTTTCTCCATAACATGGGGTCAGACGGTTCTAGTTGAAACACCCGGAGCATGACAAACAAGAGGTGAATACAGAATGTCCCGCGCCCACAGCTGCAATTCTGCGGAACAGAGAAAACCGTTGTGAACAAATTGGTGAGAATGGGTCTATCTATCCTGCTCTGCCATTTCAAGTCTATTTTTATTAAAGTTTCTACTAACATTCTTCATCATCCTCACATAAAGACAGATATTTCCATGCATCAATCTATTTTCAATGCATGTATTTGATAGATTAATTTTATTCAAGGTACTAAGATATAGTAAAGACATCATACATAGCCCAGATGCATTTTAAACTCACTTTAATTTACTAAATAGAATGAATTCATCTTAGGTAAAGACCTTATAAAATTGAAAGCCATGAAGATACATGCCTGTAATTCTAGTAGCTGCAAAGCTGGCACAGGAGGATCACTGTGAATTTAGGGCAGGTCTAGGCTACAACGTGAATCTGAAGCAAGCTAGACGCATAGTAAGACTGTTGCAAAATGAAAACAAAGGCCACAAACAGGACAAGTGACCAAAAGAAACCTCCAGGATGAAGTGACACTGTACAGTAAAAATGAAGCCATGAATTCAGTTTCTAACCACACACAAGAAGAAAAACCAGTTCCTAGTACATAGGCTAAAAATGGTACCATATACCAACTAAATATAAAATAGTGTCAGACACTACCTGTGGCCCAATAAACACCCGGTATTTATTGTCTGGGCTGTCTCCTCCAATCAGGAAAGAGTTGGGTCCTATCTGCTGCAGGAGGTACAGCCTGGCCCTCATCACTTTGTTCACTCGGCGACTCGTCTCCTCTGGGCTGTACGGTGAGAAGCCATCTGGTGACGGGGCTCTTCGGGGTGGTGTGATTCTGCCACTCTGGAACTTTACAACATTGTTTTCTATTAGGTAAATCCCTCACTTCTTGCTAAGAAATTAACAGTTAAAAACAGGTCATACCAGGAACTCATGTGGCAGATTACATTCCTAGATAAAAAAAAAATGCTTCACGTATGAAGTAAAATGCTGTTACCTGACACTCTGATTTTAGAAGAACTTTTAGAATCTCAGTCATCCCTAAAGGAGATGATAAATCTTTGCCTGAGAGACAATCATATGGCCATTTTATAAACGACTCCATGAACGTGGGTCTTCTAAAGTACTGTGCAAGGTAAAAGCACATGCAGGTGAAGTCCCGTTTCTCACAGTGAACGTAAACAAGCGATCTGGGCTTCTAGCTCCCCATGATGGGATTCACAAACGCTGTCACCGACTCCTCCCCTGCTACCCTTGTGGACCCTTCTTCCTTTGGTCAAACCTCAGAAGGTTTGACCAAAACCTTCTGAAACGAACATCCCACTCACTGAGCCGCTCCTTTCCTCCAGAACTTGGTCTTGTCATCAGCACCCAGTAGGGTTTATGGTTGGTGGAGATGCCTGGACTGAACAGCTGCGATGTAATAAACAGTACCAAACTATAAAGCTTCCAGAACCCTCTGGTGGTGTGTAAAGTGTGCAGCTGCTGTGGCAAACAAATGGTGTAACAGTTTCTGAAAATGCTGAATTTCCACCCAGGAATCCCATCCCTAGGTATGAACTCAAGAGAAATGAAAACATATCCACACATAAACTTGTATGTGAATGTTCACACCAGTATCCCTCAGAGTAGCCTAAGGAAGAAGCAGCCCATTGGCTGAGTGGATTAACAGAACGTGGCATACGGTCACACAGAAGAATATGCAACAGTTGAAAAGGAGCCTGATGCATACTGTGACATGACCTAAGTCAAAGGTGCCTGCTATGGAATTCCATCTGTAAAAGGCAGATACACAGACAAAAGAAGCTAGTGACTGCCTGGGGCTAACAGAGGGGCTGGGGTTAACAGAAAAACTGTAGATCACAATTTACTTGAGCAAAGAATGGATTGGGCAGTACTCAAAGCCTGGAGTTTCAGAGAGATGACTTAGCAATGTCCAGCCAGCCTGTGTAGGCTGAACACAAAGCAAGGTGAATCAATTGCTGGACTGGCTACAATGAGCCTTGGCCACGTGTGGGTGTGTATGATAGGCACACTTGAGCTCTGTAACAAATAGGCTGTCTGTGGTTGATTAAAACTCAGTCTGATTTCCAAGTATAGAAACGAGTTCAGGCTAATGGTGCCTAGCTCATCCTTACTGTGGTTTAAAAGTGGTTTGGGGCAAGGGGCACAGGAAGGTACGATTCTGTTTATACACATTCAGGGTCCTCCTTCCCTTTGGTGCCTCATGAAATCAAGATACAAATGGATGCCTAAGAGCTCGCATGTAGCAGCATCTGGTCCAGCAGCCATGCCAGGAGGCAGCCGCCAACAGCCCCCACTGCTGGCGCTTTGCAAAGGAAGCACTGCAGGCTGAGCGGAGGCCATCAGGAGCAGGGACAGGCTCCTGCCCCCAGTTTTCAAATGTATGAGCCGGTCCCAGTCACAGTGCAGTCAACAGTGTTAGTGATGAAAGTCTACTTTGGGTGGATTTACATGCTTTAACAACAGCCAAGGAGACTTAAAGGGTTTCCTTGTGTTCACCACAGTTCGTCCACTCACTCACTCACTCACTCACTCACTCACTCACTCACTCTTCAAATGTAGGAAGTGCTTAGACATGCATTTCCACCACTAGAGTCTCTACTGCCCCGTGCTATCTTATCTTTCTGATGTCTGATTTAACATAAAAAGCTCTCTGGTCTGCTGTGATATGTGTTGATTTAAGTACACATACAAAAAAAGAATCTGACGACCAAAGGAAGGGGTATTTTGAGAGCCATTTAGGAAAACCTTGCCTATTCTCTATGATACTGTATGTGTCCATCACACACCCCCCAAATTTGAGCCCCAAACTTAAACAGCAGTCTCTGTTTTCTTTACATCTATTTACTTTTATTTTATGTGTGCAGGAAGTCCACCTATATGCACGATGTGCACTGTGTATGTGCAATGTCCACAAATCCAGAAGAGGGCATCAGAGTCCCCAACAGTGGTGTTGCATGCAGCTGTGAGCCACCTCGTGGGAGCTGGGAAGAGCAGCAGGTGCTCGGAACTACTGAGCATCTCTCCAGCAACGGAGGCAGGTGCCACGTGAGTATCAAAGAGTTGTATGTCCTCTTTCTTACTGGCATGTGAAATCCACAGGGTACACTTTACACCCTGAATGGACCCCATGAATGATTTCCCTTCAGCATACACTTAATCATCTAGAAAATGTTAGTTTACTAAGTAACAGGAATATACTTAATCATGCAAGGTTAAAAAAAATTTATCATCTGACTCAGAAAGGTCTAACTACTGAGAAACAGTCGAGCACAGTGGGACTTGTTTTCTAAAATTTAAATTTTTGCTTTTGGAACAGTAAATCTTATCAGTGGTTAAAAACAGTTTATTTTCTTTGAAGAGACAGTTTCATTTAGTTCGCCTCAGGGAAAAATGTCTGCTAAATACATGTCTAAACAACTATACTTTGTTGGCCAATTTTTTTCAATTTATGATTTTGTTCCATGGAAACAGGATGCAACTCCAGCAACTGCACATAAATGCTTTTCCCTGAGATGGTGACCACATTTTAGGGTGTGGCAGAAGTGCTTTATGGAAGCATCCCATTTCATCAAGCATCACAGGATAAATATTTAATATACACTGAGATTCAAAAACATAATTTCTATTTTGTTCACAAAGGCATTCTTAAGTCAAAGTAGCCCTTTCATTCACAGACCATATATAGCAATGAAGAGCACAAATTCTCTGAGATGGAGTAACACAGGTGAACAGGAGACATGAAAACACCAAGGTCAACTATTCACACAATGAATATATGCTAATAGAGGGGAAACCCCAATTCTGATGTCGTAGTATACTGTTAATTGGGGCGAGAGAACCAGCAACTTCATGCACTGAGCAAGGCAGACAAAACACTGGTTTTTATATAAAACTATTTTTGACCTGACAGACTCCACATAGCATCTCACAGGTCTAGATCTGACCTGACAAACAGAGCATCCTGTGGGTTCCTAGGATCCACGATCCTTGAATCCCTTCAGATCACACTTTGGAAGCTGGAGCTCTGTGGCCCAGCTGGGCAACACTTCCTGTGTTGTGAACGAGACAAAGATGGCAGACGTGAACAGACTGGGTTTGAATTTTAACTTACAGGCACCGGAGACACTCGTTTCCGTCTCACTCCTGGGGACTCCGGCTTCACTGAGCGTCCTGAAGGGGAGCTGCCAGGAGACGGGCTACGTCGGCCCTTGGGGGCTGGAGCAGCAGAGCCTGCCTGGCCCTCTCCCTGGGGCTCAGCTGCCAAGTTATTCATTTCAGATCCATCACCTTTAATAGGGATTGGTTTCACCACCTGAATCGAAAATAGTTCAATATTTTGCTTACTTTAAAATATACAAGAACAAATACATTTGAACATCCATAAAGTGGAAAATGCATTGAGCTTTTATACATTAATACAAATATACCAGGTAACAGGTCACACTTTATTTGGTATCACTCTATGTCACTGGTGTTGGATGACTATTTTACTTACACCAGTGTTGTTTATCTTGTGTTTATATTAAGGTTACCATACAAAATTACAGAAAAACTAATTGTTATTTATTGTATTCTCTAGCTCATTTGATATTCAGAATCAACTTAAATTAGGAATCAAATGCAGCAAAATTAGCACTTCAAGAATTACTCAATGAAACTGAAGAACTATTCCTTTGTATTTGGAAAAATGTAGGCCATAAAAACAGTAATAATGGGTATTAAGTAGTCAAATACAGTTTGATTGTAGTATACTATCATAAAAAAATGTTATTTTACAATATTTTTAAGGTGTAGCTCAAGAAGGCAGGGAAGGGCTAGCAGCACAGCCCAGTGCTACAGAGGTTTCTCAGCATGCATGGGGCCTTAGGTTCAAATCTCAGGACCACGGGGGAAAAAGAGAGATTAAGGGCTTAGAAAAAGCCAGGGAAGCTTCAAGCTTAAAGACCAACTTCTTAAATTGGAAACATGCAATTTACACAACCTGCTGCTGTTACTGCCATGTTTAAATACAGGCCTCTTGGACCAAACCTGGGCACTGCACCCTGAGTACAGTGCAGTCTACGCTGTGCATTCCCGCACCTCCTCCTCTGTACACACAATTCCACCTGAGGAACGAATGCTCACCCTTCCCTTCAGTTCAGTTACAATCCTACTGTTCATTAACCCTCCGTCAACGCAACCTACATTCTTTAAAGATTTCTGTAGTTTAAAAAAGGTTTAGCTGTATTATTTTTATTTATGGGGGATGTGTACATGGGCACAGGGACCTGAAAATGATCCCTCTGGAGCTACAGTTACAGGTGTGAGCCGCCAGATATGGGGCCAGGAACCTCTCGGTCCCTTTGCAAGAACAGATATACTCTTTAACCGCTGAGCCACGTCTCTACCTCCTAAAATCTTTTTTGGAACTGCATTTATTTCTTTATTTGTGTGTGAAGTCAGAGTGTAACTTGTGTGAATTTGTTCTCTCCTTCCACTGTGTGGACCAAACCCTGACAGTTTGACCTGGCGAGAGCCTTTTAGCCACCGAGCCATCTTACTGGCCCAGCCTACATTCTTCATCTGTCCTAACTCTTGCTTGTCTGTCTGCCTCATGTATCTGGTACCTGCTCATTAATGGCTTTGTGTTATTTTACACATTGTTTTTACTTCTTGTATATAAGCCTCAATTTCCTGTTTGGAGATTTTTTTTTTTACTTAGTGTTTTAAGAAGGTTTTATAAAGGCAACTGAATAAAAACAATAAAAACAAATGTAGTTAGACCTTCCAAGTACACAGTTAACTTCCTAATGATAAGCTGAAATCTGTAAGCCACAAACTGCAGGATGGGCAACTATGCTCAAGGATTATACGTTATGTTACTTATTCTACACATTTCCTCGCTCTTTCCTCCTGCCTCACATACATAGGCAAGGTATTTAAATATTTACCAGAAAGTAGACAGTAAGAAAAAATTAGTTTTAAACAATGTAACAGTAACGTGGTTGGCTTTGACATACAGCACTGCAGAATAACTCCAGCTCCAGGAGCCTGAAAAGGAGCACGCCCTAAGCTCTGATGGAGCACGCCCTGAGCTCTGATGGAGCACTCTCTAAGCTCTGATGGAGCACGCCCTGAGCTCTGATGGAGCACGCCCTGAGCTCTGATGATTTTCACTGCTCAGTTCTCTACATTGACAAAGCAGAAATAAGCCCCTCTTCACTGCCACCTCTAAAAGTGTTTCAGCAGAAGTTTCTAAGCTTAGTCCTTGACTTCTCCATCCTCTGCAAAGGATGAAACGGTGAAGGATCCCACCGCATGTGGGTACCAGATACCCACACGATACACAGACAACATGCAGTCAAGACACTAAGACATAGAATAAAATCTCAAAGCTGAAATTTATTTTGTATTTAGTCGATTAAAACTTAAATACGCCCGTGGGATGAGGAAGAAGGACTATGTGGCAGGGCTTAGTCAAGAGCTGGCTGGAGTGTAATGAATCTTATTATTGCTATCTCTATTTCAAAAGAAAAATATTTTCTTTTGAAAGAAAATGTTTTCAGGAGACTGGCGGCAGGCCTCTTCCTTTGTCTGGATGCAGAAGCACATTTCACAACTGCATCTTCAACTGTGTGAGCGGAAATCACAGCTCAGGATGCAGGAGTCTTTCCCTTCTTAACCTAGCTACTCTTGTGACGCCATAAATCTTATTTTTAGCCCCAAGTCTATTTAATCTGATTCCCCCGCCCCTTTCCTGAAAGATTTCTGGAAATATTCTTAGACCTTATTAGACATAAAGCATCTCAAATAAATTAGAATTTTTATTCATAGAAGAACAGTATAAACCTACTCAAGAGCACAGACCCTGACATTAGAGGGCAGTGTTGCTTTAAGCACGCCACCAAACACATTCCTACCGTGGTTAAAGTTGTTTAATGAGCAGAGTTTTAATTATGACTTATTTCAGGGAAACAGGAAGCTGGGCTTCTCACTTCCTCTGCTTCCATCCCGGAGCCGGCACCCACACTCACCACAGGGCCTCTCCTGTTCCGCCTTTCCAGCCACTCGTGCTTCCAGGCTGGCATACAGGTCGCCTTGAGCTTCTCCCTGATCATCCGCTCCTCGGGGCGGTCCTCCATCTTGTGCAGTCCTTTGAGGGTTTCTTTATTCTCCATCTCGCGACTAAAGTTACGGGAGAAAGGACAAAGAGAAACGTCAGATACAAGAAATAATTTCTAAGCATAGGTAAACAACTGTTTTACGCTGGTTACAGGTGCCTGAAAAGACAGCTACAAACCCCACAGAAAGACAGAGGTAAGGTACAAAAACCATGTGCATTATGGATTCTGTGTTTAGCTCAGCACTACCAGTTTTAACAGTGTCTCTAAAAGGAGGCTCTACTTAGAAGTTGTAGGCTTCCTAACAATATACACCTTTCCTAGTAGTTACCAGAACGAATCCAAAACATTAGCTACTGCTTCAGCAAAGGCTGCCCACTACATCAATATTATAATATACAAGAAACAAATATTTGGGAAGCTCCTTACTACCCACATTCCAGAATTTCCAACTATTCATGCCAATATCCTGAAATAACTTTTTGCTACTTGAATGATCAAGTCTGCGTGTCCCCGGAACAAGAAGACGACGATGAAGCCCTTGGTATACACTTCATAACTAGAGAGGAAATGGCTTGCTACAAACACTTTGACCTTCACTTCATAATAATGAGTTGCCAGAAGTAAGATAATCTTTAAGCGAGGGACTTCGGGGAGCTAATTAGACAAGGTCTACTAGGTAAAAGCACACTCTCTGAAGACCGCGAATCTCAAAGTGCACCCATCTCCACTGGTGTGTGCTCACACACATGCACGCACAGACTGCAAAGCCTGGCTCCCAGGGAAGGCTAAGCTCCCGTATTCTGGGAGAAGAATTCCAATTTTTAGAATTCTAGGCTAACTTCAGTAACTATTTTTGGAAAGTCAGTAAAGCTAGAGAATAATGATTTTTGTACCCTGACAGGAAAGGGAAGCACTCGTAGAAACACCAGAAATGATGACCTTGAACTCACTAAATGTTACCTTCCAACTTGTTGGGGAATTTTCCAGTTAATCATCACTCAGAAGCAGTGGCTTTATGGAAACAAATACAAAAAATAACGAAACAAACCAAAACCCCAAGGTACACAGGACCAGAGAGGGCATGCTTATTTGACTCCAGTGAAATACCAATACTGTGGTGCATGAAAGCACACAGCAAGCACACTGTCAGAAATGGCTAGATGGATCTGAATCTTGCAAATGGGCAGTCACAGGCTACAAAGCAAACATCCTGCTACTCAAAAAAAAAAAAATAAATAAAATTAAAAAAATAAAAAAATAAAGTTCCAAAGAAAGACGGAACGCAGAATGTATTAAATGATGGTTCATTTCCTTAGCAGTATTTGGCTGCTTCCATGCTGTAAATACACATGTATTGTGTTGTTATGATGATGGTGGTGATGATGTCACTGTCAGAGATGTAAGAAGGGCAGACAGGAGGTAAAGGGAAAAGACAGGACAGTGTGGGTGCTTATCTTCTCTGAAATGCAGGAGGCTCCCTTAAAACAAGGAATGTTTAGCAAGGCTCTGGAAAGAAACAAGTGGAGGAGGGCCCTCAGGAAACCCTCAGCTTAGGAGAGCCACAAGGTTCCAGAAGGTTCCAGGCTACAGTAACAACTGCTGGGGGGAGGGGGGCTCAGGTCTGGCAGGGTCTCTGGAGTTGGCTTCTTCTCACTGCCACCGCAGTCTCCCAGGCTCCAGGACACATGGCTCCGGGTGTCCTGGACAGGCTATGCCCCATCTGACTTCTCACTGGATTGACGTCTACACAACCATTCGGAGGCTGTGTCAGTTCACCCTTTCACAGCCATTTATCTCTCCTTCAGAGCGATCGCTGCAGCTTACAAACACGTCTCCTCCTCTCTCCAACTGCAAACTCTACTGGAGAGAACTGTTTGCTCCCGGGGCCTTGATAAGTAAGTGTTCCTGGCTTGGGGTTTTAAGGGAGCCCAAGGCTGGGAGCAGATCAGAGATAGGTACCCACATTCTACTTCCCAATCCTCTCCCCCGCTTACCTCCTCCTGTCTGCACATGGAGGTGCATGCTTTATCTATCCTCTGTGCATCAAAGCATAGGCAGTACGGAGCGACTGCTGCCACAGATGAAATGAGTTATCTTTGACTAACATCTTCAGCTGTCCTGAGGGCTTTCCTACCACTTTTAACCCTGAATGACTTTCATTTAACATTTTTATCACTCTGCACTTGTGATTACATCAGGAACTTTGATTATTATTTATTGAGAGAATTCATCATTCCTAAATTAATCTATAAATATAAACAAAGTGTTTTAGTCTTCTCATAATTATTTTGTATAATTAATCCTAAAATGTGCATTTTTACACTATATCATCTGAAATCTGAATGGCTCTGAGCAATGAAATGTAATTTTTTAGGTGACTTTTTTCCTTCATAGATTATAAAAATGGTATAAGTTGCAAATGCTGAGGTCTCAGAAAAAAAATCAAAACAAAACATTCAGTACATCCCATTTTTCATGCCACAAAACAAACAAACATACAAACAAACAAAACAATAGAAACAAAAACCCTAATTGTTTCTGCTGTCTCTGAAGTGGGAACCAGGAAACAAGTCTTCCTCACATGCTTGCACCATTTCCTCAGCCCAGCTTGTCCTCCATCCATGGACGGCAGGGTCTCTAGCTGTTAGGTATGTGTGTGTACGTGTGCACAGCAATGACCTGCCAGCCAAGAAATATTACAGCTAAAGTAGAGTGCAAGCTTCCTTTGTATACCAAAGCTACTATAACCAGAAAGCCTTGAAGCCACTAGGAACTTCTAGTGGCTGGTTAACCACGGCAGGTGTGAGTATATGTGTGGGGTGGGGGTAGTGTACCATGGCTCTTACTACCTAGAAACATACTTGCTTTTAGCTAAAAATAGTTTATACATGTCTGACCTTTTCCGTTAACTGATTCTAGTAAAGCCAGAATACTTCTGGGGAAAACAACTTGAGGACTCAGAACAAGAACAAGGAAGGACTGAGTTGGGGGAATCTGAAAGGCAAACACCGAGAGACCACTAATAGGTCTGCTCCTGTTCACCTGGGGTGCATGAGGATCACTGGACAGTTTTTGCTTGACCTAGAACTTTAAAACTCTTCCTCAGCCTAATGTTAGGTTTCTAATCCCTGGCTCTTTCTACACCTATGGAGTACAGTTGTTAAACTCTAGGAGCTTCAAGAGCCACCCTTCCGTCTGGCAAGAGGTCATTTTTATATTATTTATTATGATGATATTAATGTCTAAGCGTCTAAGTTCATCAGTTCCATAAACTAGGTCCCTTCTTAGAGTGACACACACACCAGGCACATCCTGTTCTGACAGCAGTAAGGTGCTTCCTTCTTAAGAACATCAACAATTCATACATGTCTTTGCAGATAGTGTACACACACACACACACACACACACACGTATATGCTATCTGCAAAGTTTCCTATCCTCACATGTCTTCAGTACAAAATTCCCTACCAGCATTCTGTAGTCACTAGCTGTTCGATCCCAGCAGGCTACACATCCACCGTAATACAATCTAAAATTGAGGAGCTAAATTCCTGCTTTCCTCACAGCACTGGGAGACCTTACAGGATGGGGTTCACTATCAGCACTTTCCTATGGGCAGAGTCAAGTGTGCTGGGCCTGATACAGGCTACCTTATAGAGAGACATGTATGGGGGGGGGAGTGGGGGGATGGGACAGTCTTCAGGAGCTTTCTCTCTTTCTGTTGTGTACTGAACACATCCTGTAGTTCATAGTTGTCTGGTCCAGTAGTAAGTGCGCCTTGGTTCAAAGACACTTTATACCGAGATAGTACTGGGTATCTTGAAGTTTGAAAGTAGGATATGTGAAAAGTATCACTGTGTAAAGAATGGGATCAGAACAACAAAGGAGAAACAAAGTGAAATGAAACAGTAGACGCAGAGAGAATAAAGGAGTCAGAACTGGAGGAGGAGCAATAAAAGCAGGCACAGGGGTTGTACTGGGTCCCTCTGCAGCTGTTAAACAATTAGTGCTAGCCTAATACTGTCCCAAGTGACAAGCTATAACTCTCCAAGGCCACAGGCATGTCTCAGCGATAGAAGCATTTTCACAATTCTTTAACCAGCTAAGCCAAGATTTCAATGTTATTTATTTATAGGGTTTTTCATTATTCCTAAGTTAATCTACAAATATAAACCATCTAGTCTGGAATGAAACACCCTAACACACTCGAGTCCCTGGGAAAATCCACAAAAGCCATACTCGGCTTTCAGTTTTGCACAACAAAGACACATATACAAGGCTCTCAAAGTCACTCAGAACCCTACCATTTTTTAAAAAGTTGACAGGCAACAACATAGGAGTAGAAAGGGTTAAATGTGTGCTGGAGGATGGCTCACCAGGCAGCCTGATTTTATAAACCAGGCTTGGGGCAGAACTGCACCTGGGAGGCTGAAGCAGGAAGATACCAAGCTCCAGGCTAGCCTGGGCTACATTAATGACACATCTCTCTTTTTTAGTGGCATCCATTTTACTAGCAGAATTTGAGAAGTACACCAATTCTGCTTGTGATTAGAGTGCTCCTGAGCGGCTACTACTACAGTGACCAGTAACAGCTTTCCTGGTTAGCACAGGTCATTAGCATGGATAGCTGCTACTTTAACAGTGTAGACTCTGGGTAGCTGGACAAAGGAGACTCTTGATGCCCGAGGAGTCCTGAAGAGAAGATGTGGGAAAGACCCGGGTTATGTGAGACACAGATGGCTCCCAGACATGTAAGCGCTCACTCCAGCAAGAACTCATACACCAACTGCACAGATTACTACCAAGGAGCGAGGGGAACAAGGGAGGAACTGTCTGTCCACCCGACAGCCTAAGACCCAGGGAAAGGGCCAAAGAAGAATGCAGTGAGTGGTGGTTGAGCGAGGATCCCTCGCTCAGCACAGGGCACAGCACGAGCTGTGCTGGTTGAGTGGGAAGTTGTATGTGCATGGTGTGTCCCTAGGTTAAAACAAAACCAAACTAAACCTGCTTAGCAGCGACTTCAGTCTTTTCAGTCGGTGACAGAAAGCGATGAGTACTCAC